GGCACCTGGGAGCATTGAACCTTTGGAAAGGTCGACCACATAGGATCCTCCCCGCTCCCTGTACACACACACAGGCCACAGCCCTACACAACATACACACACACTCAACTGATCAAACTGACACCCACAGCTTCTCACCCACCAAACACAGCACCCACAAGCACACAGCCCCACCCAAGACACGCACAATCTTCACACGGTGCACAAACACACACAGAGCCCCATGCAACACACACACACACACACACACACACACACACGATCACAGTGGCCCCCGCAGCTTCATATGGTGCACAAACACAAACACACACAGAGCCCCATGCAACACACACACACACACGATCACACTGGCCCCCACAGCTTCACATGGCACACAAATATACACACACAAGAGCCCCACCCAGCACACCCACACAACTGATCATACTGACAACCACAGCTCCACATGGTGCACAAACAAACACACACACAGACCCCCACCCAACACACGCACCCAGCCCCACATGGCTCCCACGCCAGGCTCAGCCCGAGACCCGCCCAGCTCAGCCTGCCCGCAGGGCTCTGCTCCCCAGGGCTGTGGCCACTCCCCCTGCCCCTTCCCTGCCTTTGCCCCCTTCTCAATGGGGCAGGGGGTCAGCCTTGTGCCCCACCCTAAATTATTAACCCCTTCCTGCCAGCAGGGGCGTAAGGGCGGCGGGGGATGAGCAGGACCACGGGGGCGGGGGGGGGGGGAAGCGGATGATGCACCAGGCACCCGGCAGGTGGGAGAGGCCCCATCCCGAGTCCCTCCCCAGGGGCAGGGGGCCTTGGTGCCTTAACCCCTTTAAGGCGGGAGGCATTGGCACTGGGTCGATTATACCCTCGTTGCCATGGCAGCAGGAAGGGATTACATCCAAGGACGTTAAGCCAGGACGGATACAAATTTAAAGGGACAGGTCGACCCACCCCAGCTCGAGCCCCGTCCCACCCCCTATATCTGAACCCACTCTGACCCCAACCCCCTTCCCACCCCACCCAGACCCCAACCCACCTCCCTGCCTCACCCCTTCCCACCCCACCCAGACCCCATCCCACCCCCCGGCGGACCCGCATCCCAACCTACCCAAACCCCATCCCACCCCCCTGCCAGACCCACATCTCACTCCACCCAGACCCCATCCCACCCCCCTATATCTGATCCCACTCTGACCCCAACCCCCTTCCCACCCCACCCAGACCCCATCCCACCCCCGGCGGACCCGCATCCCAGCCTACCCAAACCCCATCCCACCCCCCTGCCGGACCCACATCTCACTCCACACAGACCCCATCCCACCCCCCTATATCTGATCCCACTCTGACCCCAACCCCCTTCCCACCCCACCCAGACCCCAAACCACCTCCCTGCCTCACCCCTTCCCACCCCACCCAGACCCCATCCCACCCCCCGGCGGACCCGCATCCCAGCCTACCCAAACCCCATCCCACCCCCCTGCTGGACCCACATCTCACTCCACACAGACCCCATCCCACCCCCCTATATCTGATCCCACTCTGACCCCAACCCCCTTCCCACCCCACCCATACCCCAAACCACCTCCCTGCCTCACCCCTTCCCACCCCACCCAGACCCCATCCCACCCCCGGCGGACCCACATCCCAGCCTACCCAAACCCCATCCCACCCCCCTGCCGGACCCACATCTCACTCCACACAGACCCCATCCCACCCCCCTATATCTGATCCCACTCTGACCCCAACCCCCTTCCCACCCCACCCATACCCCAAACCACCTCCCTGCCTCACCCCTTCCCACCCCACCCAGACCCCATCCCACCCCCCGGCGGACCCACATCCCAGCCTACCCAAACCCCATCCCACCCCCCTGCCGGACCCACATCTCACTCCACACAGACCCCATCCCACCCCCCTATATCTGATCCCACTCTGACCCCAACCCCCTTCCCACCCCACTCAGACCCCATCCCACCTCCCTGCCTCACCACTTCCGACCCCACCCAGACCCCATACCACCCCCCGCCAGACCCGCATCCCACCCCACCCAGGCTCCATCTCACCCCCCTATATCTGATCCCACTCTAACCCCACCCGCTCCACACCAACCCCCTTCCCACCCCACCCAGACCCCATCCCACCCCCCTGACGGACCCGCATCCCACCCCCCTATATCTGATCCCACTCTGACCCCAACCCCCTTCCCACCCCACCCAGCCTGACTCCATCCCACTCCCCCATCTGACCCTCTTCCCACCCCACCTTGTCTGCTCTGGGGTCCCAGCCTTCTCACCCCACCTGGCTCTGGGATTTTGGGGACACACACACACTGCTGCCCCCAGCCTGACAACCTCACTCTCACCCACACCTGCTCCTCCCACCCCCAACCCCACCCCAACCCCCCCAGTTTTCAGCCTTCCAGCCATGACTGGCCTCTGGGGGGGGGGGTTGGAGGGGGAATGGAGAGAAACAGAATCTGTCTGAGGCTGGAATTAACCCTCAGAAAGCCAGGTGGACTCAGAGGCAGGTAATGCCAATGTCATAAATGTACCTGGTCTCTCTGCAAACCAGCACTCCCACCTCTGCTGTTCCTGAACCCCCTGGGCTCTGCTCAGCCTATTACAGGGTGGGGAACAGAGGCACAGACAGACCAAGTGACTCACGCAGAGAGTCTGTGGCAGAGGAAGGCTCCCCAAAACCCCAGAGCCATGCCTGACCCACAGGCTGTCCTGCCTCATTTTACACAGAGGCCCCAAGACCCCGCTCAACCCTCTCTGTATTTCTCGAGCTGTTTCCCCCCAAGGGAGGCCCCCGGGTGCGATACAACCCCACCCCCCCGGAGATGCAGCCAGTGCTGGGGTGCAACACAGCGATGGATTAGCAGCGCCCTGCTTCCAGCTGAAACCACAGGGGGCAGAATGGAGTCTCCCGCCTCAGGAAACAGCCTAGATGCCAAATTAATACCCCAAGTTTCGCAAAGGAAACACAGGACCTTTGAGGAACACACGTGCCCAGAAGCTCAGATTTAGGTTTTAGATGGAGCAGCCCCATGCACGAGGGGTGGGGGGGGGGGGGTGTCAGCACTGGCTCTGAGGGCAGAGCGCCCCCTACTGGGCCCCCTACCCCATTCCCTGCAGTGTCTGGGCTGCTCCTGAGAGGTCTCCTGTTCAAATGCTCCACCCATGCTCAGGTGCACGGGCACACGCCCCCACAGGTGTGCCCACCTGTTCCCCAAGCCGCGCGCACACGCTCCCAGCGCCCTCCTCCGGCCTTGGGGGTCACGCCCAGCCCCACGGCCCGGGTGTGCCATTAACCGGCTTAAAGCGCAGCCCCAGGATTCCTGCCTGGCCTACAATGTAATCACCAGCGAAAGAGAAGAGGTTTAATTAAATGTAAGAGGGTTAGAGGCGGGGAGGTAGGGAGCAGAAGCTGTGCGTGTACACACACACACACACACACCCTCCCTCCCTCTAACTCCCCCCCCCCGCCCTGAACCCTCCTCACTCACCCAAAGCCCTTCTCCCCATCCCATGGCGCACACCCCCCATTCTCCCTGCACTGCTCCTCTCCCATTGCCCCCTCCCGATCTCATTCCCCCCTCCTTCAGGCCCCATTCTGTTCGTCCCCCGCAGCCTGGGGGGGTAACACACTCCAGCGGGGCCGGGGGGGAGATGCTGCACAGCCCAGACTCTCCGGGCGGCCTCTTTAATTTCTGCCGCTTGGTTTCCATAGACACCCGCGAGCCGGCGGTCAGTACCAGCATCCCAGCATGCAGGTGGAGGGGAAGCGACCTCTGCAGCCGCAGCCAGCTGTCCTGATGGCAGAGAAGCCAGGGCACCGACAGATCCAGCCTCCGTCTTGCCTCAGCCAAAACCTGCAGTGCCAGCCCCTGACCGCGGCATCGTCCCTACCCCTTCCAGGGGAGGCAGCGGGGGTCAGGCAGGGAGACAGCAGGAGATCTGGCTCCCAGCCGCTCGTCCGCTACAATGAAGCTGACCCCCATCTCCTCACAGGGGGGTGAGTGTTCAGCACAGCCTGGTGCCCTGCACGCCCCCCGCACCCTAAAGCCAGAATAATCCTGGCGCCTCTGTTCGAATGGCCGAGCTTTGCAGCCCCAAAATCACAGCTCCCGGTACAGAAGTCAGGTCTTTCATTTCACACACGCCTATAACCCCCATTCCCGTGGCCTCTGAGTGCCTCACCATCTTTAGGGTATTTATCCTCCTAGGCCCTTTACAGATGAGGGAACTGAGGAACAGACAGGCCCAGATTCTTAAAGGTACTTGGGCACCTAACTCCCATCAGCTTCAATAGGAGTTAGGCTCCTACATACCTTTAAAAATCTGGCCTTAAGTGACTTGCCCAAGGTCACGCATGTAGTCTGTGGCAGAGCTGGAGACTGAACCCAGGGATCCTGAGTCCCAAGCCAGGGCTCTAACCACTAAGCTGTCCTTCCTCTGACTTGGGAACATGTCCCCTCCATTCCCCGCCAGCACCCAGCTGCTCCTGCAGCGCAAGGAACAAACAGAGCTCTCGGGAGCTTGGACGGCCCCATGCAGTGGGTTTAGAAAGCTCCTGGAGTCCTCTCCCGTAACCCTGCTACTAAACCATCCTCCTGACAAGAGAGATGAAGCAGGCACCTCTAGAGTCCAGCTAGACAATCCGAGGGACATGGGGGTGCAGAGGCGGGAGCCCCAGTGTGGAGAGGGAACTGACGTTCTGTTACGGGGCAGTCTCCTCTCCCAGTCCCAGATCTGTAGAGACGGAGTCGGTCAACCTGCCCCCTCTGGGCCAACCCTCACACCCAAGAGATTGTTGTGGGGTGCTCTTATCTGAGTCCAAACTTGGGCTCATCTCCAGCGTCCACCTATGCCGGGCATTAGGTGGGGAGCTGCCCAAGCCCCATGGGAGTCCAGGGGCACAGCCCGAGGGTGCCCTGTGCCCATAAAGGAACGCAGGACCCAGGTGATGTTTTACAATTCCAGCCCGGAGAGGGCGTGACTTACCCAAGTCGGAGTTGGTAGCAGCCACGGGCATCTCGGCAGCTGGCGCAGTTCAGGCAGGTGGCGAGCGCTTCTCTGAACGGGCACACACAGGGATCTGCGGAGAGAGGGAAGGGTGAAAGCCAGTCCCTCTAAGGGGGAGGGGAAAGAGGCAGGGGGCTAGCGGGAGGGGGCGCAGGACTGGCAAGGGTGGGACACAGGACACAGAAGAAAGGAGCTACATGGGGGAAGCCTACAGCCCCAGGACCGTCAGTCTAACAACTCCCTCGCTCAGCTACCCCCGCTGTGGGCATACAAGTCCCGTCCGGAGGCCTGGCACAACAGGGCCCAGTGAGTAATGCCACCCGGCTGCCAGTGGGGAGGGAGGGAGAGGGATAAGGAGACACAGCACATAGTGACCAGCCGCCCGCCTTCAGAGCCACTCTCCGCCCTTTCTCACCGGGGGTCACTGGAGCATCATCTCCACGCGCAGGAGCCGAGGAGACGCTGCATTAACCGGGCACCCTGTGCCAGAATGAGGGATGTTTGCAGGGTGAGGCTGAGGCAGGAGCAGCAGGGAGCTCCCCCTTCCCCCACGGCCAGCGCTCCTGCTCCATCCCCTCCAGCACCCCCTGCTGGGGGGTCCGGGACTGGAATACCTAGGACCCCCTTCCCGACAGCCAGCGCTCCTGCTCCGTCCCCCACAGCACCCCCTGCTGGGAGGGTCCGGGACTGGAATACCTGGGAACCCCCCTCCCCGACAGCCAGCACTCCGGCTCCATCCCCCCCCACAGCGCCCCCTGCTGGGAGACGACAGGAGCCTTGTCTGCCGTTGTTTCCCTAAAATCCTGCCCGGGAGGGGATTGCTCCTGGAATGGCATTCACTCTTTCAGTGCCGGAGGCAGCCCATGCCCTGAAAAGCCACCCGTCACCCCACGCTCCCACCCGTCCACGGCCGCTCCAGCCTCCCGGGGCCGGTGAACTTAAGGGGGGTTTAAAAAAAAAGCCAAGTGGGCTCAGGACCCCGGAGCAACAGCAGGCTGCCCTGTATGAGGCCTCGCCCGTCTAGCGCCCCTTGTGGCAGGGAAGAGCCAGGACCTGTCTATGACACCCGTCCAGGCGGCCGGACACAGCCAGACCCTGTGGTTCTCTCTGCCTCTCACAGCTCCGAATCCCGGCCCGGAGACAGCAGCCGAAGAAGGGGGCGGCTGAGCACGCAGCAGCCCCGGGAGCCGGCCCAGGCCTGCGTCCTCTCAGGACTGGGCTGCTCAGAGGAAACACGGCCACGGACAAGCCGCACACGGAGGAGATGCTAATTCCCTGGTTGCCATAGCAACACTGGAGCATTCCCCCCCCCCCCGCAGCCCACCCCTCAAGGTTACAGCTGGCTGTCACCTTTGGAGATGCTGCCAGGGAGCTGGCTAGGGATCCGAGCTGGTGCGGGAGGGCAGGGGAGGGGAGGGTCCGTGGGCCCTTCTCCCAGTCCAGGACAGGGCCAGTCCCTGTCGGGCTAAGTGATGCTGCTCCTGAAGCCGTGCGGGCTGCAGGACATCACCCAGCCACCTCCGCACCTGCCAGGCTATCAGGGCTGCAGCCGTCCCTTGCGTCAACTGGAGAGGCCCCCGGGGCTGCTGCTGCTGCAGATGATCCAGATCCACCTGAGCACCCTGGGAACCGGTCAGCCTGCTTCCCTTCCACCAGGGGCAATGCAGGCCCATCCAACAGCCCCATGCCGTGGGGGGAGATTGCGAAAAGACTGCTTTGCCTGGCTTCGTAGCCCCCGCGTGCTGGGAGCTGGCCTCCGGGAGCCACAGGTCTCCGCACCCTCCTGCCCACGTACTGGCTGTGAACTCCTCAGGGCAGAGACTCAGCGTCAAATACCTCCCTGATTCAGCAACATGCCAGGAGGTGACATCCAGATCAGCTTCTCCTCCAAACCCTCCTCCCCCAGCTTTGAAAGGCCCCCATAGCTGAAACAACCTCTCCACAGAGCCGGGATGAGCTCCTCGTTCTCACATGCGCACATCCCCAGCCAGCCTCTTTGCTCCACTCTTGCTGTCAAACTCCAGGCCTCTTCCCCACCCGCAGCCCGCCCCATCCCTCCCCCCCCACATCTTGAGAATCCAGCCAGCTCCCTGTGAAATGAACACGCCCGGTCTCAGCTTAGCAGCTGACAGAGCATCAGTTTCACTCTTTTGGGGCAAAGCAACAAACACGTCACATTTCAGGCCAAGGGGGGGGAGGAATTCGGCCCTCCAGGCTAGGACACCTTCCCTGCTCTGTGCTTTAAGGGTTAACTCTCTCTCCCGCCCCACCCACCTGGGCAGGTGCCTTTGGAATGTTCCCTGGCAAGAAGCCACATGCGCACTGGTCTGGGGGCAGGGCGGGCGGGGGGGGGGGGAGAAGCTCAGGAGCGTGAATGGGGCAGATACCAGTTTCAGCCTGAATGCCATGCTGTGCCGGTGGTACTGTGCCCGTGCCGATCTGGACTCTGCCCCAATGCAGGCTCATGCCAGTCCAGCGAAAGCCAGGGGCAGGGGAATGGAAACCTTATCACTGTCATAGATTCATAGAACATCAGGGTTGGAAGGGACCTCAGAAGGTCATCTAGTCCAACCCCCTGCTCAAAGCAGGACCAATCCCCAGCTAAATCATCCCAGCCAGGGCTTTGTCAAGCCTGACCTTAAAAACCTCTAAGGAAGGAGATTCCACCACCTCCCTAGGGAACCCCTTCCAGTGCTTCACCACCCTCCTAGTGAAAAAGTTTTTCCTAATATCCAACCTAAACCTCCCCCACTGCAACTTGAGACCATTACTCCTTGTTCTGTCATCTGCTACCACCGAGAACAGTCTAGATCCATCCTCTTTGGAACCCCCTTTCAGGTAGTTGAAAGCAGCTATCAAATCCCACCTCACTCTTCTCTTCCACAGACTAAACATACCCTTGATGTCAGAGCACATGGAGCAGTTCCACATTCAGGCAAACTGAGCAGTTAGAAATCAAAATAAATAATAAAAAACATCCCCCCACCACATCCTTTGGCCTTGCTACAGACCCAGAATCTCCTGGTCAGTGCAGCCACTTCATCCCACAGGGAGGGATACTTATCCAGGGGTGCTCTGGACTCAGAAGGCAGCATGAGTGGCAGATGGGGGATGCTCCCAGAGGAGCCTGAAGAGCATACCAAGTGGTCCGCATGAGCCATTCACTGCTGGAGATGGTTGGTCGGGGATAGAGCAGCCATCAGGCAGCTGCCCAGGTGAGCATCTCTCTCGGCCGTATCTGAAGTGAGCTTAGACCTGTCCCACTCTGCTCCATCCCTGGCACCGGGGGGCACAGCCTGGAGAACCCCGAGTGACAGGCAGAGGGAATCTCCACGAGAAGGATGGAATCGGAGTTCGTTTCATGGAGGGCGTTGCACACTCCAAGCCAGGGAATGAGCGAGGCCCGCCCGAGCAAACAGGGCAGCTATCTGCTCCCAGCGACGGCTCCGGGGCGGCAGCTTGATGGAAGAAGGATGAGCCCAAGACCGGGACCGCAGATCTTCGCGCATGGGGGCACGAGTAGCTGCGACAGCTCCTGGATCTGGCTGAGCCCAGAGGCTGGGAGCACGAAGCCTGGCGTGACAGCACCGGGGTGAGGGATGGATCCATGTAGCCTCATCCTACCGCCCTGGGATATGCCGCCTGCCCCCTGTCGGCTGTGGCTGGGAATGAGCCCTGCCACGAGCACTGCACTGCGGTTGGGCGTGGGAATCCTGGTACTAGGCCTTGGTGGGCAGATCCTGGAGCACACTTAGCACGACACCTGGCCCTGGGTCCCCAATGCCTGGATTCTGCTGTGCTTCCTTCGAGGCTCAGAGTGGGAGTCCCAGCTTAGAGCACTGGTGTGTGAATCCGGCTGCAGCCACATCAGAAAGCCCGGCTGCAGCAGGCACGCGTTAATTGCTCCGGGGGGGGCGCTGACATGACCTCACAGTGCAGGATCCATCCCAACCAGGTGTCACGACAAGGAGAGTGCACTAAGGGGAGGGATAGCTCAGCGGTTTGAGCATTGGCCTGCTATATCCAGGGTTGTGAATTCAATCCTTGAGGGGGCCATTTAGGGATCTGGGGCAAAAACTGGGGATAGGTTCTATTTTGAGCAGGGGGTTGGACGAGCTGACCTCCCGAGGTCCCTTCCAACCCTGTGATATCCTACGAAGGGGAGGACACACAGCCGACACGTCAGAGAATCCGCTAAGGACAGCTCAGTGGGCGTAGAGTCCGCAACAGACTGGGGGTAGAGGAGATCCAGTGTTTTCTGGCTCCACCAGTGAGCATGGAAGTCAGGGTTCCATCCTAGGTCCCATTCCCAGATACAGGAAGGTGTGCGGCCTAGTGGTTAGAACAGGGTACGGGGAGCCAGGACACACCGTTCTCCGTTTCTAATGAATCACTGGTTGTTTCTATTGTCTGTCGCTAATTTGCACTGGCTGCACGGTGCTCCATGCTATTCTTTTTACGGGGGTAAAGGACAGCACGGGCAGCAGGGAATCAGGCCTGGCAGGTTTCCGCTGCCCGTCTCTCACTGCTTTTCGTTTCTTTCGCGCTGCCTCTCCGCCACCCCACAGCCTTGCCTCTAACCACAGGACGGGGGCAGACGCTTCTGACGGGAAGATGTCAGCGCCGTGGTCCCGGGATATAAGCGAGACAGGCTGAGCGAGGGAATGTCTTCTTGGGACCCGCTTGGAAAGTACCAGCTTGCGAGCGACACAGAGCTGTTCTGTGGGGCAGACGTACAGCGAGGGGAACAAAGCCGCGGATTGAACTTAGCTGAATCCAGCCATTCTTCAGCGCCAGCAGGGCCCAAAGACTGGAGCGGTGGCAAGAGGCAGCGTGGGTCTGTGTGTAAACACGTCACTGCGTACAGGGGAAGCGACTGGCAGTGAGCTCATCGTAACCCCGTCCCCGCCCAATCTTTACACGGCCTAGGTAATTTGCTCTTTCATTCGGAATCTCTGAAACCTGGCAGCCGAGACTTCAAGCTTCACAATTGGATCAGGATGTGAAACCCACCGACATACACCCCCCAGCTTGGGAGGAAGGGGGGACACAAACCAAGAGCTAGGGAGCCAGCCTTCCCCCCCTCCGCCCCCCGAGCCCATTCAGAAAGCAGCTACTTTCATTCTTATGTAACAACATGTTGCTCTTTGACATGCCCAAAGTGACACACAGCCGGAAGCCAAAATTTAGCATTTTTAACTGGGGAGGGACACAGCCGGGGAAGTGAAACCCACCAGCGGAGAAAATAAAATCCATTCCCCCACCCCACTCCACCCCACGCAAAAAAAAATCCGTGCCAACAAACCAAAGAGACGATTCCCTCAATAGTAGGAATTCTGCAGCCCACACAAAGCCAGAGGCAGGGCTTAATTTGTGCCAGGGGCTGAGCCCTGGCACCTCTGGGCTTGGCAGTTCATAGCCCCGGCACTTCTGGGCCTGGCAGGGCCGAGCCCCGGGGCCACTCGGGGCCGGGCAGTTCAGGGCCCCGGGGCCGGGCAGTTCAGGGCCCCGGGGCCGGGCAGGGCCGAGCCCCGGGGCCGGGCAGGGCCGAGCCCCGGGGCCGGGCAGGGCCGAGCCCCGGGGCCGGGCAGGGCCGAGCCCCGGGGCCACTTGGGGCCGGGCAGTTCAGGGCCCCGGGGCCACTCGGGGCCGGGCAGGGCCGAGCCCCGGGGCCACTCGGGGCCGGGCAGTTCAGGGCCCCGGGGCCACTCCGGGCCTGCTGCATCAGTTATGAATGTAAAAAAAATTACTTGAGCCCCCCCCCCTGCGCCTCCTTCATTACAAATTAAGCCCTGGCCAGAAGGGGGGAGAAGCCAAGGGGATCTGGGGACGGGGGGCTGGGGAGGGGGCAAGGGGAGCCGGCTACCCCCGGGGGAGGGCGAGGAAGATGGTCAGAGACACAGCTCGCCGGGCACCTATTGAAACTCCCCCAGCGCCCGGCTGGCAAAGTAAGGAGGCATTTCTCCTGGCAGGGAGCCAGGTGTGGAAATGGGGGCGGGGGCGGGGGGGGGGGCAGGTTGGAAACTGACCAGCCCAGGTGCGTGAAACTGACACATCCAAGGGGTCCCCCAGCAGCCGCCCTGCGGGGGGGAGGTGTCAGTTTAGCTGCTGCGACCCCCCCAGCAGCTGGCAAAGGCGGGGCGGGGGGGGGGCTCTTACCTGCCCCAGCGGCGCGGCTCCAAGGCCCCCGGTCTGGCTCGGATGCGCGGCGGGGCGGCGCTGGGGTCGCTCCGCTCCCGCGGCGGCCACTCGCTTGCCAGCCGCCGCGCTGCCGCTGGCGCTCTTAAAGCAGCAACGCCGCTGGAAGGGGCTGGCCGGGTCCCACCACCGAGGCGGGGGCCGGGCTGTTGGCTGGTCCGTTTCAACCCAGTGGGTTTCAACCGGGGCTCCAGGGACCCCTGGGGGCGTCCCAGGCTACGTCTAAGATCTCCCAAGGGGGCCCGCAAGCTGCCTCTGCGGGCAGGTGTGTGAATAAGCTGGTTGCCCCACCCTTGCAGACCTGACTTGAGCCAGGCAGGGGCTGCTGGGGCATCAGTTATCCCCAGCAAACTGGGGGGGGGGGGGGAAGAGGGTGCAAGGGGGAGGGGGGTTCTGTTTCCAAAAGACCACTTGAAAGAGCACCAGGGTCATTTTTTAGGGGAGGGGGCAGAGGACGGAGCCAAGGCCGTGCTAAGGCTGTGGGATTGGGCCCTGAGGGGCGGTGGGGGCAGAATGAAGGGGGTGCGGCTGGATGAGTTAATGGGAAGCGGGAGCGTGAATGGGAGGATGGGAGAGCAGAGGGTCCATTGAGGGATGGGGGAATGGGGAAACAGGACCGCGAAGGAGTCAACGGAGGAGAGGGGGGTGGGAGGGGATGGGCTCATTCCCCCCCCCCCCCCCCCACCCCCCCTGAATTGGCAGGGAAGCGCTGATCATTCCTGCCCACAAAGCGCTTTGAGATCTCAATGAGGCTGTCCCCCTCCCTCCCCCACAGTTTACACGGACAGGCATGGGCCCCAGGACTGGCCCGGGAGGGAGGATACCAGAGGTTCCTTACAATCAACCCTACCCTGCTCCTTGCCCCTCTGCCTGCCCCTGCACTGGGTATTAGGATGGGGGGGGAGCCACCAGGAGCCTGCTCGGCAGGCACTGGGGGGAGGCGTGGGGCTGTGGGTCCAGACAAAGGCCAGGGAAGGTACTTCCACACGGGGAGAGGCTCTAGGGCTTGACTTCCATTCCCCACACACACACACACCCCAGCCATCAAGATGTCCCAGCCCCTGACACCCCACAGCCGTGCTGCCCCCCCCCCACCACCACCACCCATACGACTGGGTGTCTGCGCTCCCCTCGCTCCAGATCAAAGAGCAGCAAGCCGAATGCGTCTTCCACCCAGATTTATTGTTCTGATCATTATTCACATTAGTCTACCCAGGAACCGAGGGACAAAGAGAGAAGGTGGCACGGTGTTGGTTGCCTCTGAAGCAGGCGGCCCCGGGGGGCTCAGGAGGGAGGAAGAGAGGAGAATCACAGAGGGATCAGCGCCGGGGCTGGGTTTTTCCACCCCTAGGCCTTTTCCTGTTCACCCCAAGGCGACTGCCGCTCAGGATCATGCCCTGCAATGACCAGAAAGATTCAGTTAGGATCCAAGAGACCCAGTTGGCGCCGCAGCCTCGGGATGTTGTGACCCCACGTCCACATCTCCTGCCCCGTGGTCTCCCCCCAACCCTATCCCTCCCGTCTGCCCTGTCCTCCAAGCCTGCTGCCCTTTGTAAGGGCATCCTGGGCCGAGTCCCTCTCTGTGGGCTGAGCTGGAGGGGTTTGGAGCTAAAAGCAGAAGCCTCCATTGTCCAGGGTAAAGAGCCACCTCTGTTAGCAGTCACAGCCCCAGGACACTCCAGCCAAGAGCCCCACGGCTTTAGCCTGGGTTAGAGATCGATACTTCCCCTGCACCCAACCTGTCTCCTCCCAGCTTTGCTCCAACACCTGCTTCTCCCCTCTCCCCTGATCCTCCCCCACTCATGTCCCAGGACCCCCAGAGCAGCTCTCGGAGGACGGTGCCAAGCTGTATCCAGGACCCTGCAGAGCCGCCAGGTCTCCTGATTCATGCGGGGCAGGGGGTCCCCCCACGCTCCTTGTGTAAATCATAGAATCATAGACTATCAGAGTTGGAAGGGACCTCAGGAGGTCATCTAGTCCAACCCCCTGCCCAGAGCAGGACCAATCCCCAACTAAATCATCCCAGCCAGGGCTTTGTCAAGCCTGACCTTAAAAACTTTTAATGTCTTTCCAGACTGCCGTACCCCTTGCAGGAGGCTGATTGGTCTTGCGTACCCCAAGTTTCTCCTCACTTAAAAACTTCTTGTTTACAAAATCAGACATAAAAATACAAAAGCGTCACGGCCCCACCAGTACTGGAAAATTGCTCCCTGTCTTGTGTTTACCATACAATGATCAAATTAATCCACTGGAATAAAACTATTGTATAAACACGTCATTGTCTGGATTAAATGTTAGTTTGTACTGGCTTCGCTTGTGCTTTTTCTGTAGCTTGTTGTAAAACTAGGCAAATATCTAGATGTTTTGATGTACCCCTTGGAAGACCTCTGTGTACCCCCAGGGGTACGCGTGCCCCTGGTTGAGAATCACTGGGCTAGAGGACCATGGTTTTGGGGCGTGTGAGTCCAGCACTTGGTCCAAGCCTGGGGATACAAATCATAAGTTTTAGGGAGTGGGGTTTGGATCCCTTATGCCCTCTGACCTCTCTGCCCTGCTGCTTCTCACATCCCCCACCGCAGCCAACCGCGATGGGGAAACCCATCTGCTTGATGGGTCTGCTGAACCAATCAGGTGTCTCTGGCTGGGACTGTACAGCACCTCGCACCCCAGAACCCAGGCCTGGGTGGAAGCGTCTAGGCACTGCCATAAAACGAACAGTGAAGCAGGGCTGAAATAGCACAAGCTGCCACGGAAAGTATCCTCCCAGGGGACAGAGTCAACGCCCAGTTCAGCAGCATGGAGCAGTTGGGAGAGCCGCTGTTTCAGGGTGCTGCGGGGACATGGACTCAATGCACTTTTTAAAAATTATGTTTGGTGACACGGCTGCCTGGAGACTATTCCCAGCACAAAGGGGCCTTCCAGCTGGCAGAATCGTCCCCCTGAGAGACACCCCCACCCCAGGGCCAGCTCTCTTTAAGTTCTTTGCTCCCACCGCTCCTATCAGGAGCCTGTTCCAGAACCGCACCCCCCCACCACCACCTCCCCGAACAGTTAGAATTTACCCATTTCTAATTTCCAGCCGGAATTTGCTCACGGCCAGTTTATCCCCACTTGTTCTTGTGCCACCGCTGGCCTTTAGCTCCTGCAGGCAGACAGGTGGGATGCTGGGACAGCAGCGTCATCCGCTCACCCCCGCCCCCCAGGGGCTAATGTCTCCCCCAGCCACCCACCCTCGGAGCCCTGCACGCCCAGTGCAGACTAAGTGCACCAAGCCAGCTCCCAGGGTGGGCCTGGGGATTGCACCCCAGACCTTCAGCCCCCTCCCCCGCGAGCTAAAGGCATGGTCCCTTGGCTGGATGCAGCAGGGTGTGGCTGTCCCTGGGGCAGCCCCGAGAGGGAGACATGGAAATGGGAATTTCAGGAGGGATCTTGCCCCTCCTCCCAAGGGTGAGCTGGTCTGATGCTCTGCTGGGCCCCCACTTCGGAGCAGCAGCCCCCCTCCCTGAGGGCAGGAGGTTGTGGTGGGGCAGGTGTGACGCTGGGCAGGTGCGGGCAGCAGCCAGGCCCCCTGTAAAGAGGCTTCGCCCCTCAGCTCCACCCTCTGTTCCTGATACTCCAACGGCCGCCCCGCAGAGATATTTCCTCCACCGTCCTCGGGGTGCTTGGTCCCTTGGGCTGACTCTCCTCAGGGTTCCCAACCCAGCTGAGTGGTAGCAATGATATTTCATTCCCCACCCCGCATTATTTAATGAGAAGAGGTTTGGGAGGTTAGAGAGTTAGACTCAAGAGCCTGCTAAGATCTTGGGATGGAGAGAGGAATGAATGGATGGATTTGTATGGGATAGCGAGGGAGGGAGGGATGAGTGGGTGTGCATGGGATACCGAGGGACAGATGGATGGATGGAAGGAGGGATGGGTGTGTATGGGATAGCGAGGGATGCAGGGATGGTGGGTGAGTATGGGATAGCGAGGGATGGGTGGGTGGGTATCGGACAGAGAGGGATGGGTGGAGGGATGGGTGGAGGGAGGGAGGGAGGGATGGTGGGGATGGGTTAGAGAGGGATGGATGGAGGGAGGGATGGAGGCATGGGTGTGTATGGGAAAGAGAGGGAGGGATGAGTGTGTATGGGAGAGGGAGGGATGGATGGATGGATGGTTGGTTGGTATGGGGTAGAGAGGGATGATAGGTGAGTGTGTATTGGATAGAGAGGGATGGGGGATGGAGGGATGGGTGGAGGGAGGGATGGAGGGGTGGGTGGGTAGGTATGGGACAGAGAGGGAGGGATGGGTAAGGGATAGAGAGGGATGGTAGGTGAGTGTGTATGGAAAGAGGGGGGGGGGGGGGGGGGGGGGGGGGGGGGGGGGGGGGGGGGGGGGGGGGGGGGGTGGGGGGGGGGGGGGGGGGGGGGGGTGGGGGGATGGGAGGGGAGGGTGGGTAGGGTAGAGAGGGATGGTAGGTGAGTGTGTATGGGATAGAGAGGGTGGGTGGGGGGGGGGGTGGGGGGGGGGGGGGGGGGGGGTGGGGGGTGGGGGTGGGGGGGGGGGGGGGGGGGGGGGGGGGGGTAGGGAGAGAGGGGGGGGGATGGAGGGATGGGGGGATGGGTGGAGGGAGGGATGGAGGGAAGGACGGAGGGGTGGGTGGGTATAGGACAGAGAGAGAGATGATATTCTCCTGCAGCTGATGCAACCCAAACCGGAGAAGCTTGTGCTAGTTTGTGAGCATCAGCCAATGACACTGTCTAGACGGCCTTGTCACCCACCACCCAGGCAGCTGGGAGAAGTGCCCAGGAGAGGGAATGGCTCCCTGCGGGAAAGCCAGCGCTGCTGGTCAAGCCCTCCCAGTTGCAGGGGTTGCTCCATGACGCTGCTGAGGAGCTGAGCCCTTTGTAATGCTCTGATTTGAGCCCTGCGTCCCTTTTGCTCCATGGTTCATTCCCGGGGGGGAAGCCCCACGCCTGGCCCCGTAAGGCTGAACGGGGAGCAGGGCTTGTTCCGCGGCTGGGGCCTGGTCTCCTTCCTCTGCAGCCCCTTCATCTCCCTCCTCCTCCTCCTCACACAGAGGGTGCGATGCCAGCCCTGGAGACATGGTCTGTCAGTGCCACCTAGCGGGCACTGCGGGAACGCTGAATGCCAAGGCCCCCCCCCTTGGCCATGCAAACACTGTCTTCATGCAGCATCTTTTCCGGGGCTATCCGGGCGCTTGGCAGACAGGTACCGACGCAGCCTCACAGGGACCCTGGAGGCTCAACAGTATTGATATCCCCATTGTAGAGACGGGGAAACTGAGGCTCCGAGAAGGGAAGTGACTCGCCCAAGGTCACACAGCAGCCCAGTGGTACGGCTGGGAATAGAACCCAGGAGTCCTGACGCCCGCTCCCCTCTTCTACCTACTAAAAATACTCTCTTCCCAGAGCCGAACTGGGATTCCTGGTGCCAAGATCCCTCCTTGACTCCTTTAGAGACATCTGAGGAGAACCCCGGGTCCTGCTATAAACCAAGCGCCCACTCTCCTTCCAGAACTGGAAAATAGAACCCAGGCGTCCTGAGACTCCCAGCCCCCTGCTCTCACCACGCTGCCGTCCACTCCGACACACCCCAAACCTCGCTGAGATATTTCCTGCAGAGCTCTGAGCCTCCCCCAGCCCATCCTGTGCGCCCACTGCCCCCCACAACCAACGCCCATTGCACTTTCTCCTGCAGGGGCCCGGTGCGCAGTGAGCTGGGGTCAGAACGGGGCTCCGAGCAGGGCAGGGAGACAAAGCAAAAGCCCAGGACCTCTCACGAAGCCTGCCAGAGACACCCTCACATGAGCCACTTCAGTACCAGCCAGACACCTCGTCCTCCAGCAAAGTAATTGACCTGGAACCGGCCCCCCCCCGCCCTTGCCTCTGTCCCCACCCGCTGCCTCTGGGGTGGAAGGTGGCCTCTTCTCAACAGCTCCTGCCACACAAGACATCAGAGCAGGAGGCGAAGAAGAACACGACCACCAGATATTTCGCAGGGCGGCCAAAGGTGATCTCCCAGCTCGGAACCCGGCCCGGCCCTTGCAAACTCAGGATCTTTAATGAGCGCACAGGGTTGGGGCCTCACTTTTACGCCCCACCCAAAAACCAGCACCTCCAGGAGCTCAGCACCCCCTAGCGCCGTGCTGGGGCATGTTCTGTAGGAGCTCGGAGGGAAGAGAATCCCTCTGCCTCGCCAACACCATAGAGGGCATCTCCGGCTGACCCCCTGCTGTGGGATGGGGCTGAAGGGAAGGGCCCCCCTTACTGACTTACTGGTCTGCCGGTAACCTGCCGGTAACAGATGAACCAGTATGCACGCACGCCCCATTCCTGAGCTCCCTCCCAGAACAGATCTTACCTGGCGGGTTTAGCATCCCGAGGGGTCATAGGGGTCTCCACAGAGCGTCCGGCTGCTGGATCTCTTGCCGTATCTAGGGGGGGCAGGGGAGAAAAACACGCAGCCAGTCATGGCTTCTGAGATGGATAAGCCAGGCCCCACGGGAGACGGGGGCCATGGGCTGGGACTGGGAAATCCTTCTGTCCCCGGGGGCCAGGCCAGAGGTGCACAGCCGACCGGAGGCCCGGCCCCCCGGCTTAGCCAAGCCGCTTACCTGGGCCGCGTGACCATGTTGAGATACTGCTGCAGCTCATTGTAGAACTGGACCAGGTCCTCCACGGGGGCATTGTCCCCGGGGTACGTGGGGTGCATCGGGGCAGCGCTGCCCAGGTGCCCCAAGAGCAGGGCCACGCAGCAGGCGAGGGAGAAGAGGGAAGCCCAGCGCCTGCGGGGGGCGACCATCTGGGGGAGGAGAGAAGGGAAAGCGCACGCCGGTGAGACGGGGCGACAGCCCCCCACGTGGGCTGGGGCTGGAGGGGAGGCCAGCGCGGGGCCGGGGAGAGAGACCCAGGCCACGGACACCACACAGGGGGAGGAGAGAGACAGGCTGGAGCGTGGAGCGTGCCGGGCTGGCCTTGCCAGCGTGGGGACGGGCGAAGGCAGGCGGAGAGGAAAGGGGCGAGCTTGCGCCATGCTGAATGAGCCGGACAGGCGCCTGCTCGAGGGGGCCCTTGGCAACAGGGGAGAGGGGGATCCAGCCATGTTGCCACAGGAATGGCTGTGTATGCCATGGGTGCAGGGAGGAGAGGGCAGGCCCAAGGAGAGAAGCCGGTAGGACCCCAGGACAACACGGGGTGGGAGGTGGGGGAGCCACTGAGCGAGCGAGAAGGGGGCTCTTGGGTTTCTCAACTACTCCAAGGGCGGCAGCCGGGCTCAGGGAGCGCACGGCCCACCTGTCCACGGGGAGGCGGTGGGGCTGGAGGACGAGCCAGCCAGCCCTGGAGCAGGAGAGCCCCGGAGGGTGCCTGATTCCTAAGGAGATGGTGCTGGCTGGTGCGGGAATTGCACACGCCCGCCCTGCACTTGTGAGCGCACGCAGACACCACACACGGGCCTGGCCAGACACCCAGCACCACACGCACAGACGTTTCCATTCCCCCCAGCTCCCGATCCCGAGCCCCTGCCGCTGGCTCCATCTGTCCGGGAGGAAACGTCTCCTTTTGTGTCCGAAGGCAGCCACCCCTCCCGCCAGGACCCACCAGCTACTGGCCACTCTGCCAAGCAATGCCCCCAGCCCTGCCGCCCCAGATCCGCCCTCTGCTCGTCCTGCACTGGTACTGAGAGAGGGTGTGGGAGACCCCCTGAGCCAGCCCCTCCACCTCCCCACCCCGGGAATCCCAGGGCACTCTCCAGAACTATGGGGCGTCTGTGCCGCAGATGTGCATGGAGCTGTACAACACGAATGCAGATACGCTCCCTGCCCAAGGCAGAGCGCACCAACGTGGGGTGCTGGCAGGCTTGCCCGCTGCATGTCGGGGAGGAGGGGGCAGGGTCCCATTCCCCCGTCCCACTGAATCCCCCCAAGTCCCAGCCCAATGGGCTTACCCTGATCCAGCGGGGTGCGGTGCAGAGACGCAGTGCGACACAGGGGTGCGGGTGGCCTGGCTGAGTCCCTCCGTCCTCTGCACTGCCAGAGCCGGCTCCGGAGGTTTATATCTCCCCTTACACCCCCCCAAGCCCCCCCTCCCGCCTGCCCCTGCATCATCACTCCCCCACTCTGGGCAGCTGCTCTGACGTCACCGTCCGCTCGCGCCGCCCACCCCTGCTGGGCAGTGGGTCCCGGTCCCTCCTCCCCAAGCAGTCTCCCTAGCACCATGACTGTCTCTTCCCTTTGCTTAACTCTGGGAAGGATCCAGGAGCCATGAAGAGGGCACCCCAAAGACAGACACAGGGTAATCCAGCATCCCCATGCCCTTGCCCCCAAGAGGGGAGACCTGGGCTCTGTGGGGGTCTCCGGCTGGGGGAGGATCTCAGCTCTCCAGGAGATGCCAATTGGGATGATGTGCTAACGGCGGACTTGCCCTGAGGGGAGGAGCCACTGGAGACACCCCAATGTGCCCACTCTCCTCCCCCAGCCCAGCTCTGGGACCCCACAGAGGCTGGGAGGCCCCCACACAGGGTCCTGTGTGGGAACAGGCATCCATTGTTCAGCACCAGGGGAGGTAGGGTTAATATTTCACCAGATCAGTCACCGATGAGCTCCTCCGAGCCCCCTGCAGAGAACAGCCCCCTCCCACTGACCTCTGAGAGCCAAGGGGGACGAGGGGTCCAGACCTTTCACTGGGGAGAAGGGGACCGACAAGATGCCCAGGATGGGCCAGAAGGTGTTTGGCCCAAGGCCGCCCAGTGAGTCAGCAGCAGAGCCCGGCCTCGAACCCAGGAGTCCTGATGTCCCATCCCCTGCTCCCACCACCTTATGCAGCTGCTTCATTGACCTGAGGGGCCTTGTGTTTGCAGAGGGGTCTCTCCCCCCAGTGCTCTTTGCCCCACGTGGGAGCTTCCCTGCGTGTGCATGGAGAGACCGTTCAATTAAGGTGGACAGAGGGTAGTGGGGCCATAGATTACGTTACACTGGAATAAAACCAAAGCCCACACGGGAAGCCCCTCTGGCCTCCGTCAGAGACAGCCTGGCAAATGGGAATCTGCAGCCAGCCCTGGTGCAGGAGGAGAGAAGAAGATAAGAACGGCAACACTGGGTCAGACCAAAGGTCCATCTAGCCCAGTGTCCTGTCTTCCCACAGTGGCCAATGCCAAGTGCTTCAGAAGGAATGAACAGACCAGGGAATCATCAAGTTGCCCTGTTGCCCACTCCCAGCTTCTGGCAAACCGAGCTTAGGGGCACCATCCCTGCCCATCCTGGCTAATAGCCATTGGTGGACCTGTCCTCAATGAACTTATCTCGTTCTTTTTTGAACCCTGTTATAGTCTTGGCCTTCACAACATCCTCTGGCAATGAGTTCCACAGGTTGACTGTGTGTTGTGTGAAGAAAGACTACCTTTTGTTTGTTTCAAACCTGCTGCCTATTCATTTAATTTGGTGGCCCCTAGTTCTTGTGTTATGAGGAGGAGTAAATAACACGTCCTTATCTACTTTCTCCACACCAGTCATGATTTTATAGACCTCTGTCACCTCTCCCCTTAGTTGTCTCTTTGCCAAGCTGAAAAGTCCCAGTCTTATTAATCTCTCCTCATATGGACCCCTAATCATTTTTGTTGCCCTTTTCTGAACCTTTTCCAATCTATATATTTTTGAGATGGGGCCAGCACATCTGCACGCAGTATTCAAGAGCCAGCAGTTGCAGAAGAAACCTGGCATCCGCCAGCAGGTGGCACCCCAGGCCGGGCAGTGCTGGGAGCCCACAGCTAGGCCAGGGTCGCGGGAACCGTTCTCAGGGGCTGGGGAAACCCGGGCCAGGCAGGGTCAGACCCGACGGGCCCAGATGTGGGTGATGGAGGCCGAGGGCTGTGGAAACTCTGGCTTTGGAGCTGGTGCAGCTGCGGCTGGAATCCTGTATGCAGAGCCGGGGCCCACAATTCAAGGACGCGGGCAAACTGGAGGCGGGGGGGGGCGGGGGGGTCCGAGGTTATAGCAGCTGAGCTCCTGGAGTCTCTCTCTTTAGCTGAGCAAAGAGAAGGCGAAGGGGTGACTATCCAGTCCATCCGTCCCTCCAGCGGGAGCCACGCGTTGGCAACGGGCTCTACCGTCTCGCAGGCAAAGGTCTAACAGGCTGGAAGTAGAAACTGGACAAATTCAGACTGGAAATAAGGTGCAAGTTGTTACCCGTGCAAGTAACTGAGCGTTGGAACAACCTGCCCAGGGCTGTGGTGGATTCTCTGTCACTGGCAGTTTACCAATCCCACACGGACGTGGCTCTGGAAGATCTGCTCTGGTCCAGCCGGGAATTAATGCAGGGCAGCTCTGGGGCCTGTGTTATGGAGGAGGTCCCTCTCCATCACGATCTATGAAAGATGGGCTGGTGCCCAAAGTGGAACAAAGCCAAATCAGGGGACATGACTCCCCCCAAAATCTGTGGGGAGGGGAGGGGCTGCACCTACGCCCCCTGTGATGGGGGTCCATGGGCGGTAGCTGCCGCTCTGTCCTCTTCCTGTCCTCTCCACGCCCACACGGCAGGCGCTCAGCGAGGCCAAACCCAGCCCCAACGGAAAGGGGAGGTACACCCACCACACACACACCCTGCTGTGGGTTGCTGCTCTGCCGAGGGCAGCTAAACGCCACGGCACCACGAGGAGTAAGCGCATGGGGCAGGTGTTCGGGTCGAAGCTACACTCCCCTTGGTGGGCCCGGAGCCCCCCAGATCAGCCGGGAGGGCAGCTGATCAGCAGGTGAGCCCGAGGCAGTGCGGTCCAGCAGGCGGAGCACTGGCCTCAGGAGACCGCTGTCACACAGGGCCGTCCTTAGCCATACGCGGCTGTGTAGGGCACCTGAAAATTTGGGGCACCCCTAGGTCTTAGTTTTCAGAGTAGCAGCCATGTTAGTCTGTATTCACAAAAAGAACAGGAGGACTTGTGGCACCTTAGAGACTAACAAATTTATTAGAGCATAAGCTCCAGGTTACCAGCAGGAGAGTGAGTTTGTGTGTGTATGGGGGTTGGGGGGGATGTGAGAAAACCTGGATCTATGCAGGAAATAGCCCGACTTGATTATGTAAAGAGTTGTCACTTTGGATGGGCTAGCACCAGCAGGAGAGTGAATTTGTGTGGGGGGGGTGGAGGGTGAGAAAACCTGGATTTGTGCTGGAAATGGCCCACCTGTTGATCACTTTAGATAAGCTATTACCAGCAGGACAGTGGGGTGGGAGGAGGTATTGTTTCATATTCTCTGTGTGTATATAAAGTCTGCTACAGTTTCCACGGTATGCATCTGAAGAAGTGAGCTGTAGCTCACGAAAGCTCATGCTCAAATAAATTGGTTAGTCTCTAAGGTGCCACAAGTCCTCCTTTTCTTATTACCACTTGAATGGCTCTTTAACAGGCATTTGCCAGCCCCCAGGTATAGGCTGTCAGTTTCTGAATGTACTGAGCAAAACAGTTGTGCGTTCCTGTAATATTTACTCCGCCCATGTTAGTCTACAGGACCTTACTTTAAAATTTGCTTTAAAAATATGTCATTAGTGAGCGGCTGAAGATGATAAAAAAATCGTTACATAGATTTTTAGATGCACAAGCTGAGGATCCATCTTTAGCCTTAAAGGCTTGGATCTTCAGACAGAGCGTTTTTTAAATAAATCCTTCAAAAAACCACCCGCATCTAAAATACACACGCGAGCCCGGGCTGCCGTCAGGCATAGGGTGACCAGACAGCAAGTGTGAAACATCGGGACGGGGGTGGGGGGTAATAGGAGCCTATATAAGAAAAAGCCCCAAATATCAGGTCTGTTCCTATAAAATTGGGACATCTGGTCACCCTATAGGGGCACCAGTTTAATAATACTGCATAGAGCCCCATAAATCCTAAGGACGGCCCTCCCCTGTCCAGGTCTCTGTCTCCCCTTTGCCTTAGCTAGTTAGACTGTAAGGGCTTGGGGGCAGGACCGGTTTATTGCACACCCAGCACAATGGGGCCCTGACCTGAGGGCTGCTAGAATACAAATAGCCCAGCTTTCACTCTCAGGCGTCACAACCTCCAGGGTGGGAGGGCGCTGCCGAATCTTGAGCTGCTGGAGTCCAGGGATGATGAGAAAATCTCTGCTTTCATATTACAAAAAAGGCCGTTTTGAGACCTTACGACCAAGAGAAAGCCACGAAAACGTGACGTGAGTGCGACCCACGGGCTCAGCAAGCAGCAGGCAAACCAACAGATCCCACAGCTCAGCGTTTGTTAAACGTCTCATGCTTTTTCGAGACGGTCCTGTGATTTCGGGGGGCCTGACTGGTGATTTTTGAAAGCTCGGAGTTGGGGATGCTGGCAGACAGCGCCTGGGTCCCAGCTTACGATGGCAAAGTTAGAATCATAGAATCATAGAATCATAGAATATAAGGGTTGGAAGGGCCTGGAGAGCAGGAGGTCAAGATCCAGTGTCTCCAACTCCCACTCTTAGTGAAAAAGTTTTTCCTAATATCCAATCTAAACCTCCCCCACTGCAGCTTGAGACCATTACTCCTCGTTCTGTCAAGTTGGGGGCCTGGAGAGCAGGAGGTCAGATCAGTGTCTCCAACTCCCACACTTTCATTGCAAAGCTCACAAGGGCTAGCGCCTCTCTTAAAGCCCCGGCTGCTGGAGTCATGTGATGAAACGCAGCTATTATTAATGTTAAGTATGTTTCTAGCGCTTGCGGTTGCAGAGAAAAACATGAACTAGTCAGCTCCAGCCACGGCCCCGCCGGCTCCCCGCGACCGAGGGACTTGAGGCTTCGCCAAGTGACGTCCCTCCCCAGAGCCGAGACTCCAGATCGAGCCAGCCCAGTGCTCACCCCTCTCTGAGCGGCCAGCTCCACCCTAGCCTCCGAGCCCGATGCTGGCCCATCCCCCGGCCTGCCTCCGCACAGTCCAAAGAGAAGGAGACGAAAAGTCAAACTACACCCCCCCGCCCCCCAACTCCCCTCCATTCACCCCCCAGCCCCCAAATCAGAGCTCAGCCCTAGCTCATGCATTGCTGGAGGAGGCAGGCCGGGTCCTTTCCCCTTCGCCAGCCGGGCAGGGCGGGGCAGGAGCAGCCTCGCCCCATTCCTAAGGCCCTGATCTCAGAGCCTGGAGTCGGAGCAACCGAAGGTACAGTCCAAAAACCAACCCCTCCCAGCCCCGGGTCTCTCCCTCAGCCGCCCGCCCCGGTTCCTATCCAGCCCCGGCACCCGGGCAGGGCAAGTGCTCCCTGATCGCACCCAGCTGCTTTTGGCCATTAGCGCCAAATTGTCCCTTAAAGGAGTCGCACCCCCTGCCACACATTCCCGACATGCCCATCGTATCTATCTAGCCACCCTCCTGTCCAGCCCCATATCCCTCGATCCCCCACACGCCCATCTCTCTACCCAGCCCCATAACCCTCGATCCCCCTACACTCCCATCTCTCTACCCAGCCCCATATCCCTCGATCCCCCTAAACTCCCATCTCTCTACCCAGCCCCATAACCCTCGATCCCCCTACACTCCCATCTCTCTACCCAGCCCCATATCCCTCGATCCCCCTACACTCCCATCTCTCTATCCAGCCCCATATCTCTCGATCCCACTACACTCCCATCTCTCTGTCCAGCCCCATATCCCTCTATCCAGCCCCATATCCCTCGATCCCCCTACACTCCCAACTCTCTACCCAGCCCCATATCCCTTGATCCCCCTACACTCCCATCTCTCTATCCAGCCCCATATCCCTCTATCCATCCCGATATCCCTCTGTCCCCCCACACTCCCATCTCTCTACCCAGCCCCATATCCCTCTATCCCCCTACACTCCCATCTCTCTATCCAGCCCCATATCCATCAATCCCCCTACACTCCCATCTCTCTATCCAGCCCCATATCCCTCGATCCCCCTACACTCCCATCTCTCTACCCAGCCCCATAACCCTCGATCCCCCTACACTCCCATCTCTCTATCCAGCCCCATATCCCTCGATCCCCCTACACTCCCATCTCTCTACCCAGCCCCATAACCCTCGATCCCCCTACACTCCCATCTCTTTATCCTGCCCCATATTCCTCGATCCCCCTACACTCCCATCTCTCTACCCAGCCCCATATCCCTCGATCCCCCTACACTCCCATCTCTCTATCCAGCCCCATATCCCTCGATCCCTCTACACTCCCATCTCTCTACCCAGCCCCATAACCCTCGATCCCCCTACACTCCCATCGCTCTATCCAGCCCCATAACCCTCTATCCCCCCACACTCCCATCTCTCTACCCAGCCCCATATCCCTCTATCCCCCTACACTCCCATCTCTCTGTCCAGCCCCATATCCCTCTACCCAGCCCCATATCCCTCTATCCCCCTACACTCCCATCTCTCTACCCAGCCCCATATCCCTCTATCCCCCCACACTCCCATCTCTCTATCCAGCCCCATATCCCTCAATCCCCCTACACTCCCATCTCTCTGTCCAGCCCCATATCCCTCTACCCAGCCCCATATCCCTCTATCCCCCTACACTCCCATCTCTCTATCCAGCCCCATATCCATCAATCCCCCTACACTCCCATCGCTCTATCCAGCCCCATATCCCTCTATCCCCCTACACTCCTATCTCGCTATCCAGCCCCATATCCCTCTATCCCCCTACATTCCCATCTCGCTATCCAGCCCCATATCCCTCTATCCCCTCACACTCCCATCTCTCTATCCAGCCCCATATCCCTCTATCCCCCCACACTCCCATCTCTCTATCCAGCCCCATATCCCTCTATCCCCCTACACTCCCATTTCGCTATCCAGCCCCATATCCCTCTATCCCCCTACATTCCCATCTCGCTATCCAGCCCCATATCCCTCTATCCCCTCACACTCCCATCTCTCTATCCAGCCCCATATCCCTCTATCCCCCCACACTCCCATCTCTCTATCCAGCCCCATATCCCTCTATCCCCCTACACTCCCATCTCGCTATCCAGCCCCATATCCCTCTATCCCCCTACATTCCCATCTCGCTATCCAGCCCCATATCCCTCTATCCCCTCACACTCCCATCTCTCTATCCAGCCCCATATCCCTCTATCCCCCCACACTCCCATCTCTCTATCCAGCCCCATATCCATCGATCCCCCCACACTCCCATCTCTCTACCCAGCCCCATATCCATCGATCCCCCCACACTCCCATCTCTCTACACATATTCATCTATCCCCATACACACCCATCTAATCTATCTAGCCATCCCCATATTTGTCTGTCTATCCCCATCCATCCATCTCCAGACGCACCTGTCTAATCTCTCTGTCTATCTACCCCTCCCTCCCCAAACACACCCATCTCTCTCTCTCTCTCTCTGTGTTATTAAGTTGGTGCTGTGGGACCTGACAGCCTCCATCCAGCCCTTCCACCCGTCTGACCTTTCTTTTAACCCCGGGTTCCCGGCCCTGCGGCCTTTGCTGGGGAGGGACAGAAACACTCCGGACGTGGGTTGTTTCCGTTCAACTTGCTCTTTATTATGGAGGCAGAGACCAGAGGCTCAACTGGAAATATATATATATAAATGACGTACAAAATAAAATCAACCCGATTCGGGGGGACAGCGAGGGGTCGGGATCCAGCCGCTCAGACTGGCCACTGCACACAGACATCATTACAACGACAACCCAGAGAGGCCCCCTGCCCCCGCGCCCCCAGGGCCCACATCCATCTCTGTGACCCCCGCCGTGGGGTTGGGGGGCGGTCCACAGCGCCGAGCACGGCGAGGCAGCCTCTCCAGGTGCTGTACGGGAGGGAGGCCTCGGTGCCTCGGAGGGGGCTGGGGTGGGGCTGGGGAGGGGGCCAGGAAAGAGTGGGGGGGGGAGGAGGGAAGACCCTCTTTGCAGAGAGATTTCCAGCTCCTCAGGGTTCAATTAAAAACGCAAATGACACCAAAAGACTCGGAACATTTAAAAAGAGACCGGGAGGGGGGAGCAGGGAGCCCGTCACCATAGGTAGGAGTCCTCGTACCTGCCGGAGAGAGTGGGGAGTTAGACACTGGGGCAAGGTCAGGCAGAGCCCCCCCTCCCCACCAGCCCCCTCCTCAAGCTCTGCCCCCTCAGCCTTATCCCCATCTCTCCCTCCTCCCCACAGAGCAGCCAGTCGCTGACCCCCACCAGCAGGGAGGAGGCAACCCCCCCCAATTCCGCCACTGGGACACGCTTTTCCCTTCCCCCAACCTACAGGGTGGGCAGGGCCAGCCTGGCGGTCAGGAGAGGGGTTGGGGAGGGGTTGGGGCATATGGGGATCACCCCTCCCTGTACCCCAGCGTAGCCCCCCCCCTTCAACCTGTACCATTCACGTCGGACCCGAGCCATGGAGTTTGGATCCGGATTCCAAGTCTCCTCACTGAGGGGGTCCAGTCTGGGAAAGGGGCAGGGGTTGATTCAGCCTCTAGGGGCCATCGGCTCCAGATATCTGCTCAGGTTTAGGTCCCACGAGCAGCCAGTTCCCAGGGGGTGGTGTAGGACAATGCGGGGCGCTCAGACCACAGCGTGGACAGGGCCCCAGTGCATCCCCTGCCACCCTGGAGGTCGGGGGGGGAACGGGACTCCTGACTTTGGAGCAAAGGGAACCCCAGAGGCCAGGGGCGCGCTCACCGCGATCTGTCGGCGTGGTCACTGCTGTCCCCGAAGAGCAGCTCGGACATCAAGGCCTCGGGGCTGGATCTCTTCCCATACCTGGGGAGCGGTTAAACAGAGCACTGGGTTCACGGACGCTGCCTGGCCAGGGCAGGCCCCAGAGCCCAGCATCCTCCCGGCTACTCAGAAAGGGGGGAAGGGGCACGGATGGGGGGCAGATGGGATCAGTGAGAGGAGTGTGCCAGGGCACGGGGGAAGAGGGGCACAAGGCATGGGGAGTTGTCTGAGTGTGCGAGGGCAGTGCAAGTGTGTGGAGAGGGCTGGGGGGGGCGTCTTAGTGTGTGGAAAGGGCTGGGTGGGGGGGATGTGCAAGTGAGGGGCTAGGGGCTTGGCAGAGGAGCGTTGCAAGCAGTCCCCTCTGGTTTGCAATTAGCCCCTGGCTAACGGGCTCCTGCGGGGCAAGCTGCGTTGATGGAGCTGGTGCTTAATGTCCTGTTTCATGGCTGCCGTCTTCACTGTGCTCCCCAAAGGACCCCCCAGGGGCCAGGGGACCCAGCAGCCTGCCTCTTCCACGGGCTACACTGGGAGATTATCCAGGGCAGACAGAGAATAAAACTCACAATTCTCGCTGGAGTGAGAACACGGAGCTGGGAATGACGCCGCAGACCCAGATCTGGCTGCAAATGGGGGCTAGGGGAATAAACGCCTGCCCCATTCAGGCACATACCCACACAGGGAAAAAACCCAGGCAAAATCATGCACAAAGACCCACATTTGTGCATAACTTTCCGTGCTCAAAAAGACACACACGCATCACCACCCACAGGGCGCAGACTTGTGCACTGATAGGTGCAGAGACACCCCGGGCTTGTGCACAAACATGCCCCCCACCACCGGGCACCTGACCCAGCAACCCCTGGGCACAAACACAGACTCTCCTGCACAAAACCCATGAGATTCCTGCACAGCAAAACCACACACACACATACAGACCCCCGCACTGGCCCATGCCCAAACCCGGACACCCGTGGCCAGACGCACGGACACACCCGCGCAGGGCGTGGACAAACACAAACGCGTGCCCAGCCCAAGCCGCCCACACGCACCGCTGCCTCGTCACTAGGTTGATGTAATGCCGAAGGGCAGAGAAGTATTTGGCCATTTCTTCCGGGGAGGCGTCGTCTCCGGGGTTCTCTGGTTTCGGGGGGTAGGCCTCCACCAGCGCCCCCAAGCAGAACAGCACGCAGAGGGTCACAGCAACCAGCATGGGCCAGAGCTTCACAGAGGCGACCATCTGAGAGCAGGGCAAAAAACGGGGTGAACACGCCGTGCGAATATAGACATGGCCCCTGCCACCCTCTCCACTGACCCCTGCTGGGCAGCTGCGTTTCTATGGGGAAGGGGTTGCTGCCAGTCCAAGGACCCAAATAAAAGTGGTCCTGAACTTCACGAATCTCCAAGGTTCTGGCTGGGGGCACAGGTTCACCTGCCCGCCCCTCACCCTAAGGCCAACACACCCTGTTGTCTTGTTTGAATCAGGAGAGCTGGGCTCTGCCACCGATCTGCTGGATTACCTTGGGCAAGTCACTTCCCTTCTGTGTGCCTCTTTCCCCTCCCACGCTTTGTGTGTCTATTTCGATTGGAAGTCCTGCCTCTCAGGAGCCCGCCCATGGCTGGGGCTGCTAGATGTTGCTATACAAATAGGAATGGCTGCCCAGCTGCAATCATGTCCCATCCCCTATGGGACACTGATCCTTCCCAGTTCCTTAGAGGACTGTGTGCTCATTTGCTGAGACATCCAGCCCAGGGGACATTTCCATGTACCAAGGAGGGGGACAACCCATCGGCCCTGTTCTTCTCCTGCAAACGCACAGGGCAGCTGAGTTGCTGAGCATCCTGATCCCAGATTCTGGTCCCCCTTCTGATTCCTGACCTCCAGCTCCCTGCGGTCCCCCACAGGACCTGCCGTTCATCCCTACAGGTTTGCACCTCCTGGGTGGAAGTCTCCTCTCATTCAGGCTGGGCAGCCCCCCCCAGGGCTACGTGGTTGTAACCAAGAGGTGAATTTGGCCTGCTGTGTCACCACACAGAAAGCTGGGACTTTCAAAGGAGCCCGAATGAAGTGCCCAGCTCCCTCTGGCATCCCATAAACAAGTCACTCTTCCACCTCCCCAAAGCAGCCAGCTCTGGGGTGGAACACAGCAGCTGTTCAACACGAAAAGCCTGATTCTGCTGTCACCTATGCCATTGTAACAGCATTAACTTCCGTGGCATTACTCCTGATTTACACCAGGGCAGCGAAGCTCAGACTCTGGCCCTACATTTCCATTTCCCGTCTGTATTACAGGGGGGTAGATACACTGATATTTGGCATAGTGCTTCGAAGCGGTAAAGCTAAGACTCCAGACCACCATCCATATTCATTCATTTATGCACCCAGGCTTAACGAGACGAACGCCTCATTCCGGACCAGACTCTGAGCTCAGTTACGCCCCTGCAAATCAGCCACAGAAGATGAGTTACACTGGTCCAAATGCACCCAAGTCCCTACTAGTCTGTGTGCGTCCATAGAGTCGCAGTGTTATTTCTACCACCCTCTTTGCACGCCTGCCGCTGTACAGATGAAAGAGATGGGGCCCTTTTGTGTCTATGTCTGCTGCACACGTAGCCGCATGTGCAGGCCCGTCTCTAGATCTGCATTGCTATTGGGTGGGTGTGTGATGGACGGGAGGAGAGAGTCTTTCCCTTGTGTTTCCCTGCTGCATACATACTGTAAAGACCGGGGCGGGGGGGGGGGTTCTAGACGATGCCCCTGAAATCAAGTGTCTAAAAGCAACTCGACAGAGGCAGGCTTCCCCCCACTGATTCTAAGGGCATCATGCCAGGGCTGAGGTCGGCCCTGCCACACTGGCTTCCCTTTAGTAAGCATGAGACCCATCTACGTGTTCCCCGACCCACCTTCCTGGAAATGTGAAGAGATGGCTACTCAGCCCCCTAACTGAGACCCTGTATCGCCCTCCGCTGACAGCCCCCCTCGCTCATCAGACACCGCTCCCCGGGGAATAATGAACTGAGACCCAAAGCAGGCGAGATTTGGGGGCGGGGAGGGGGAGGGAAAGCAAGATGCCCCTCAAACCCTCCTCTTTATGCCCCCCATTCCCTCCTCCCCAGGCTTTCCTTATTATTATGATTGATATTTTGCTGGCCCTGAGCACAGCCCAACACCCCCATTGTGCCAAATGGTGTTCATCAGGGGTTCTCAACCTGGGGGTCGGGACCCGTCAGGGGGTCGTGAGGTTATTACGTAGGGGGTCGCGAGCTGTCAGCCTCCACCCCAAACCCTGCTTTACATCCAGCATTTATAATGGTGTTAAATATATTAAAAAGTGTTTTTAATTTATAAGGGGGGGGTCGCACGCAGAGGCTTGCTAGTTGAAAGGGGTCACCAGTACAAAAGTTTGAGAACCCCGGGTTATTAGGTGTATTACGGTAGCACCTAAGAGCCCTAGGCATGGCCCAGGACCCAGAGTGCCAAGTGCTGCGCATTATGATGTTAATTACGGTAGCACCTAGGAGGCCCAGGACCCCAGAGTGCCAGGTGCTGCACGTTATTAGGTGTATTACAGTAGCACCTAGGAGGCCCAGGACCCCAGAGTGCCAGGTGCTGCACGTTATTAGGTGTATTACGGTAGCACCTAGGAGGCCCAGGACCCCAGAGTGCCAGGCGCTGCACATTATTAGGTGTATTACGGTAGCACCTAGGAGGCCCAGGACCCCAGAGTGCCAGGCACTGCACGTTATTAGGTGTATTACGGTAGCACCTAGGAGGCCCAGGACCCCAGAGCGCCAGGCGCTGCATGTTCCCACTGTGCTTGGCCAGTAACTCCCAGGGCCACCCCTGCCCCGGAAGCTGATGGGAGTGAGAGACTCGGGGCCGACCCCCCTCCTCACCCAGTCGAACTGGGATGGCCCCAAACAATGGGGGTCTCTCCGCTTCCCTTGGGGAAGTCATGCCGCCACCCACAACCTCCCTCTTTGCTCAGCTTATCCCTGACTGGGGGCAAACTGACCCCACCCCAGCTCCCCACCCCCAGGGGAAGCGCCTGGCCCCAAGCTAAGCCCCTGGCCGAGCTACTCACCGCGGGCAGGCGTCGGGGCGCAGGAGGTACAGAGAGGTGTCAGGATGGGAGAACCTGGAGCTTCCAGTCCCTCTTGCTGCTCTCACCGCTCTGGCTGCTCTGGCTGCTCACCACCCAGGGGCTTTATAGCCCTGCTGGCTCGGGGAAGTAAGGAAGGAGGAAGGCTCCTCCCTCATCCTCTCTCCCTCCCCTTAGCAGTCACTGATCAATGTACTGCCCTCAGACATCCTTGAGCCTCCCCAAGGAGAGCAGGGTCCATGCCAAGGGAGGGGGGCACTGGGATGAGTCCTAGGGAGACTGGCTGAGAAGCTTCCCTTTGTAAAGGACACGGGGGTCGGGGGAGAGAGACGGTTGGAGCCTGCTGTGGGACTGACTCCATGACAGCTGGGTGCTGCGGGCGGGCATGGATCAGAACAGGAGAGGGTGGGGGTAGCGGTGCAACAGTGTTTGGACTCAGGAGTCCAGGGGGATGTAGCAGCGAGATTCATTCGGGGTCCCCTGGCAGAGTTGGGGGGGCTAGCCCCGGTGTCCTGGCCAAACCCCCACATCTTCTCTGCATCAGATTCCCACTGTCATCCCAACTGGACCCTCACGCCCTGTCCCAAACTGTTATGTAGCGCTGATCAACAGCCGCCGTGTTCCAGCCTAGAGGTGGCTGCACTTCAGTGGTGGGTGAAGTGATTCTGGTTGGGCGGTGGGGTGGGCAGAGTGACTGGCCCGATCTGTAAGGGGGTCACTCAGGCAGGACCAACCACGCAATAACATCAGTACAGACAGATAGGAGATGATGGAAGGAAGGAGTTGGAATGATAGATGGACAGAAAGACAAATGAACAGAGACAGACAGCAGTCAAAGGAGATTCTCTGTTGACCAATATATAGCTCAGGGGTAGGCAAACTTTTTGGCCCGAGGGCCACATCTGGGTATGGAAATTGTATGGCGGGCCATGAATGCTCACAAGATTGTATGGCGGGCCATGAATGCTCACAAAATTGGGGGTTGGGGTGCGGGAGGAGGTGAGGGCTCCGGCTGGCAAGGGGTGCGGAGGGCAGGAGGGGGATCAGGGCTGGGGCAGGGAGTTGGGGCGTGGGGGAGGGCGTCAGGGGTGCAGGCTCCGGGTGGCGCTTACCTCAAGCAGCTCCCAGAAGCAGCGGCATGTCCCCCCTCCGGCCGCCCTTGAGGGCCGAATTAAAACGTCTGGAGGGCCGGATGTGCCCCCCGGGCCGTAGTTTGCCCACCCCTGATATAGCTGGTGAGCTATTCAAATTCTGTGTCTTTGTTCATCTCAATCCTTTCTTTCTTTCTTTTCAATAATCTATTTCAACTCCAATTTGCCTTGCGGTCCATCTCAATCTGTCTTCTTCTTTCTGCCGTAGACAGACAGACAGACAGCTGCACGACCAGCTCCTCCAACGCTCATTCTCACCCCCCCTTCGCCAGGACCAGCCAGAAACTCAACCCCTGTGTTCCCAGAATGCCAGGACTGGAGGGTGTTTCCGTGTGACCCAACAAGCTTAGGAGTGTCCGCAGAGCTACAGAACATGGAGTGGGGTAGGACAAAGGTTTTGTTGCTGGGTATTTCGACTCTTTGGGGCAGGGCCTTTTTGTTGTGGGTCTGTGCTAGACCTAGCCAATGGGGGCCCGATCCCTATTTGGGGATCTCTCGCTGCTAGAATAATATATAATAATACTATAAGAATATATAAGAATAAAGTGGGCATTTTATTCTCCTGCCGTGATGCCGCGGGGGAGCTATGCCAGGGGTCCCAGCCGAACACCGCTAGCCCCTTGGCCCTGTACCAGCCCAGCGCGTATTCTGTATGTGCCACGTATTCTGGACCCGTCTTCAAAGCATGTGACCGGTGCCACTTTCCGAACCCTTCGCCTGGCAAGCCAAGATTGCCGCAATAACCTGAATCCAACCGGCCTGGCCTGGAGGGAGGGGGAAAAAAACCCTAATTCCCCTTTTCTACATCAAACCCTTTCATGACTGGAAAATCTCATTTCTCCTGGCCTGCTGAGTGCTGTTCCAAAGGGGAAATTCCCCCTCCCCACCTGGATGGGGCATTAATTTCTAGCCCTGATGGCTCATGAGATATGGCCCCTCGATCTTGTCCATGATCCAAGACTGCCCATTGCTGGGCGGATTCGACA